AGTCTGGAGTCACCCAGAGAACAGTGAAGAGGAGCCCACTTTGGGAGTCTGTCCTGGAGAGCGCACAGTGTGATTCAGAAGTGAAATTGGCTGGTGACCACAATATAGTTACTGTCTTAGGGTCTCTGTTGCTGTTATAAAACCAAAAGCAACTTGGAGAGGGAAGGGTTTATTTCAGCTTACATTTCTACATCACAGTCGTCATCAAAGGAATCAGGGAAAGAACTCAAGGCAGGAGCTGACGCAGAGGACAAGGAGGGGTGCTGCTTACTGGCTTGCTCCCCATGGCTTACTCAGCCTGCTTGCATGTATTATCCAGGACCACAAGCCCAGGGGTGGCACCAGCAACAGTGAGTTGAGGCCTCCCATATCAGTCATCAGTTGGGAAAATTCATCGGACTTGCCCAGTCTGGTGGGGGCATTTTCCCAATTGAGGTTTCTTCTTCTAAAATGACTCCAGCTTGTGTCAAGATGACATAAAACTAGCCACAACAGTGACCAAGGGGGAAAAAAAGACTCAAAACAAGCTCAATGCCCTTCGTCAGGTGGTATACACATAGTAGGCAGTACTTAAAATGACGGGGTCAAGCCACTCTAGCTGACCATAAAAGATGCCCTTGCTTTATTGTGGACTTCAAATATCAAATGGCAAGCCAATATGAATAGCATGTTTTTATGAAAAAAATCATTTATGCATTTATCTTAGTATGTTATAGCCACAACTACAGTGTGTGTGGGAATAGGCCCAGGTCTCTTAGTGATGTCTCTTTCTGTAGGATGGGATTAGATGACATTTAGAAAGGGGAAGAAAGGAGGCTTTGTGTTTTGAATGTTTAAAAGTTATTTCAAACTTTACACACAATGACATTCTCCCTTTTTGTTACGTTCTGAGCTTTTAACACATGCTTAGGTTCTGAAAATTGTCAGGATGTAGACTAGAGTTAATACTCTAAAGAATTCACTGTCCTATCCCTTCGGCTACCTCCAGTACCACCTGATCTGTCTTCTTCCCGATTTCATTGTCTAATGCAAGGAGCATGTGGGAGGGGTTGAAGAGCCAGGGGGCTTTCAAAGACAAAGACTGGGGGAACTCTATCTGAACTCTTCCTCCACATAAAATGCCCCATTTCTGAGAGTCACAGGCATGGAGGAGCACAGGAAAAGCTGGGAAGCAGGCCAGAGGGCTAACACTCTCTCAGGAAATGACTGAGGAGGGAAGGATAAGACTAAAAAGGAAGTGTGAGCAGAGATGGTTTTCCTTAAAAAAAAAAAAAAAAAAATCATCAAGATATCTGTGGAGATTCTTCCAAAAGAATCAAAGTAGGCCCAGAAGCTTGGTTCCAGGGCTTTGTGCATGCAAGGTGGTGCTGCTAGTTTTTTGTCAATTTGACAGATGCTAGTGTCATCTGGGAAGGGGGAACCTCAGTTGAGAAAATGCCTCCATCAGATTGGCCTGCAGGCATGTCTCTGTGGGCATGTCCTTGACTGATATGGGAGGAGTCAGCCCACTGTGGGCGGTACCAACTCTGGGGAGATGGTCTCAGGAGGTATAAGAAAGGGAGCTGAACATGAGTCTGGAAGCAAGCCAAAGAGCAGCTTTTCTTCATGGCCTCTGCTTCAGTTCCCACCTTCCAGTTCCTATGCTTGAGTTCCTACCTTGGCTTCCTTTAATGATGGACTGTGATCAGGGCGTGTAAGCTCAATAAATCCTTTCCTCTACAAGTTAGTTTTGGTTACAGTGTTTTAGCACAACAATAAGGAGCAAATTAAAGCACAAGATAATCTCCATCCCTTAAAAACATTCCTTTGAGGCAGGGTATTGCCAGATTGTAGTGGCAGGCCTCCAACTTGCCCTTGGCCTGCCTCTGCCTCCCAGTAGCTACAATTACAAGCATGTGCCAATATACCAGGCTCACAGCAAACTTTTTTTGTGTTTTAGAATTTTTCTAAACAAGACACTACCACCTTTTAAAAATTATTCCTACCCTGTGTGTAAAGCTGTTTCTTGACCTGTAATTTGGACTTTGAGATGGATTGGTCCAACAGGACACGAAGGACGGTGTCTTGGAAAATGAACAATCTGCCTAACCCTAGGCCATTTTCCCCTTATAGCAGATCAGCAAATTGTGGCTCAGGTCTATAAACAGGCCTACTCTGCGTTGAGGAGCACACAGTAGCACTACGCTCATGTAACCACTTCATGGTAGCCTCCTGATGCCCAGCCTTTTGGCAAACTGGGCTCCTGTATTTATTACAGTATTTCTTGTGCCTCCTGCCCTCATCCCACTGCTGAAAGGTTTAATCTTTGCTTCAAAGGGAACACGGGGTGTGGAAGGGCAGGGCAAGCATCAGTGCTGGGGACAAAGCATCTGGAAGACACTGCCGTTTAGAACCGGGCACCTGGGACACTCAACAGCCTCACTTGGTGCACAACTGGGAGGAGGGTGGGGCCGGAGCCACCTCTCTGTGAACTCTGGACTAAGACCCTGCCACCACAAGGGAGTAAATAGAAAGACTTAAGTATCTGTAGGAAACAGATGAACACTGCCATTAAATCTTTCATTATCTATATGTCTTATATGAATTAAACTGCTTCCAGCTGCTACAGTTTGGAAAATGAGGATGAGTGTAGAAGTCATACTAACGAATAGAGCCACAAACAGAACCTTGTGTGGGGACTGTTTCACAGGTGAGGCTCAACCACACAAACCTGAGATTCTGCTCTGGTCTGTCTGAAGCAGCCCGCAGACCCCAAGGTGGGGTCGAGGAGAATGGAACTAGGTAGCACTCTAGTCTGGACACTTGTCTTTCATACCACACCTTCTGGGAGGATGGGTTCCTAACAGAATTTCTATTCTGTTCCCTTTTCAGGAAAATACAAACCATTCCCTGTGCCCAGCAGAGGAACCCAAAGGCATTCACTTTAGAGATTAGTTGCTATTTCTATGGATTAGAATATGCCAATGTGCACAGAAGGGCAAGATAACTCTTCCTTAAGCACGGTCCTCACTAAATGAAGACAGTTTCACCTTTCTGTAAAGTCAGAGCAATGCACAAAACACAAGGTTCTTTGTGCACCGTCCCAGGCCCATTATTTATTTATTTAGGAGACTGGATCTCACTATTTAGGTCAACCCTGCTTCCTACTCATAATCCGCCTGCCCCTGCCTATCCTGCACATTTTATAGTGCTGAAGAGGTCATATGTAATTAAGGGGCCAAATGTCGCCCCTGAAGATTCTCCCCTTTCAGCTCTAGCTGTGACCCCGAGTTCTACTCATTCACTAGGCCCTTGAGAGACATTTCCAGTCCCGGACCATGGAAGCAGATGGTGGTGACATCAAACTTTCACCTACAAAGCAATTCTCCTTGCTATTAAAACAGATTTCTGAATTGCTCTACAGCCGCCTCAATAACCCACCGAAAATGTGCAGAGCGGATCAACAGCCAAGACCTAAGCCTCCCCTCAAACTCTCTGTTGACGGATGTAGTGGCAAGAAAAGTTCATGACTGAGCCATGAGGCTCAGGGACCAAGAAAGTTACCCCGCCCCCACCCCCACCCCAAGGTGCTGGGATCCCCCAGCATCCTCTGGGAACTCAAAGTGCCTTGGACACTCCATGTTTCCTTAACTTCTTACGTGGACACAGAAATCATCAGTTAATCTTTGAACCTGGATTGATGATATTTCCTTGAGATCATTTTTCCTCTGTCTGCATCTGCCTTTTAGGGTTCTGGATTTCTCAAGACAGCCACCAAGCTTGGCCTCCTCTCTGCCCCACAGTGCAGAACTTAAGTGGACTCCTATAGGAGCTTCTTAAAAATAGCCTGGAACATTTTAAAATAAAGTTTGCCATGGAAAAGCTGTTGCTAAGGTCCCCAGTCTCTCAGTTAAATGCATGTGTGTGTGTGTGTGTGTGTGTGTGTGTGTGTGAGAGAGAGAGAGAGAGAGAGAGAGAGAGAGAGAGAGAGAGAGAGACCCACCAGTTGTATAGTTTTATTTCCCATTAATAGCATAAGCCTGTAATGAGTGGCTTCTTTAATTGGGTTGCAGACATTCACTTCAGATTTCTTCTGATCTGGAACATCATAAATAAAAAAGGGATACAAATAATCTATTTTGTCTCCATTTGTCTTGAAGATAATTTCCTTTAAAGGTTATTAAGTGTATCCCAAACCTAACATCATCTCCCTTAAGGAACGGGAAGTAACGGCTGACCCTCCTATGACTCCAGTCACACACAGTGTGATTTCCACATGAGGCCATGCTGCAGAGGCATGGTTAGGGTAAGGGAAGAAATTTTTCCTTGGGGGCTAAGGTCAGAAGAACTTTCACAAGCCAGAAGGAGATTAGCCCCAGGGAAAACCTGCATCAAAATTAGCACCCACATTGTTGGCTTTCTGAGGCCAAAAGTAGAAGCATTTGCATTTCCCATTTAGAGCCTGGGAATATCTTGCAAGATCAGTTTTTAGATTTCCTTACTATGTCTACACATATGAAGTTTCTGTATTCACACAAAATCCTGGTATTTGGGTGTCTATCTTCATTATATTCCTGATTCCTTTAAAGTATTTTTATGTGTGTGTGTGTGTGTGTGTGTGTGTGTGTGTGTTTGGAGCATGTGCATGTGTGAGTCCAGGTGCTTGCAGAACCCTTGAAGCTGGACTTATAGGCAGTTACCGTGAGCCAGCAGACATGGGTGCTGGGAACCAAACTCCAGTCCTCTTCCAGAGGGGCAAGTTCTTAATCACTGAGCCATCATGCTAGCCCCACTACTCTGGTGCTGGTGATTGAATCCCCAGCCTGTGCAGACAGGAGTGACAGCCTCAGCTTCCTAACTCTCAACAATGCTAAGAAAATTTGACCTTTTCTTCCTTTTCTCATTGTGCTAAGGTCTGTGTGCCTCTTTTTACAGATTTCGTGAGCGTCCCTGCAACACATTCCAGCAAACATTGTTTTGCTGAGCCATCTATTCCCAACAGCACCTTGGAGGGCTCTTACCAGCTCCCTGGTGGGGTGACTTCTCCTTCCTGGGCTCGGGAGGCAGGATGACTGGTATAAGTCTCTCAGACTCCCCGGGGCTGGCATCCAGGCCTGCCGGTGGGTACTGCAGGGTGAGGCTCTGGAGGAGTGGCTTCCTGGGCAGGGGTGGCTTGGTACTGGGTTGCTCAGGAGACCTGGACTTCCCTTTCCCTTGCCCATTGGGGGACCTGGAACTTCGCAGTGCAGGGGCAACCCCGGCATGGCTCTGTTCATCCTTGGGGAGTACAGTCAGGCCTCCTCTCTCCAACCTGACTTCAGCACTGTACCTCTTGATGGCTTTGGCCTCCTGGGCAGAGCCGTCTCTGTACTTGAGGGAGAGCGAGGTGGACCGTAGTTTGACTGGGAAGGGGCTCTGGTCCCCCCCAAGGGCTGGTTCTTTCACACTGGAAGCACACGGATCAGCATCCTGGAGGCTCCTGCCCGGTCCTGCCCGGCCAGCCCCCATGTCTCCTGAGTCTTGAGGGTCACCACCCACTGCCTTCTTGTCTTGGGGCTCTGGTAGCACCTGGAGGTCATCAAGAGCTGCCTCACTCTTCCAGGCAAGGCCACTCCGTAGCAAGGGTGCTCGCCCCCCTGCAGGCACGTGCCCAGAATGTTCCAGAAGGCGAGAGCTGCTGGCACGGGCACGTGCTCTGCTCGAGGTCACGGAGAACCTCTTAACACTGCGCTGTGGCTCAGTATTCCGCTCAGTCTTCTTCCCCAGGGCTGCCTTCTCTGGAGCCCCTGATGTCGCAGCCTGTGCAGGCCTGGTGCGGGCTGGGGGTACAACTGCTCTGTCCTGGACTCCTGGGCTGGGCTCTTTAAGAGGAGGCTCCACAGGGGACCCACCTGAGGCCAAGGCCTTGTGCTTCAGGCAGCTCTTGGGTACTGGAGGACTCCGGGAAGGGGCTGTGGAGGACTCTGTCCCTGCTCCCTCAGGCCTTGGTACCACCAGGGGCAGCTCCTCCTCCTTCTGGACACTTTGGTCCTGTCTCTCTGTATCTGAAGGTGTCTCCAAGTTGGTGTCAGTGACAGTCTCAGGAGGTGGTGCCTTTGGAAGTATTGTGTCCCTACTGGGAAGTTCCATGATCCCTTTAGTGGGTGCTATGTCTCCCTTGGAAGGTGACATGTCTCTCTCTGGAGGTGCCACAATCCTCTTGGGAGGTGCCACATTTCCCTTGGAAGGTGACAAGTCTGTCTCTGGAGGTGACATGTCTCTCTCAGGAGGTGCCACATTTCCCTTGGAAGGTGACAAGTCTGTCTCTGGAGGTGACATGTCTCTCTCAGGAGGTGCCACATTTCCCTTGGAAGGTGACAAGTCTGTCTCTGGAGGTGACATGTCTCTCTCAGGAGGTGCCACATTTCCCTTGGAAGGTGACAAGTCTGTCTCTGGAGGTGACATGTCTCTCTCAGGAGGTGCCACATTTCCCTTGGAAGGTGACATGTCTCTAACTGGAGGTGCTAGGTCTCTCTCTGGAGGTGCCATGAAACTCTTGGGACATGCAATGTCTCCCTTGGAAGGTGACATGTCTCTCTCTGGAGGTTCCATGATCCTCTTTGGAGGTGCCACAGCTCCCTTGGAAGGTGACAAGTCTGTCTCTGGAGGTGACATGTCTCTCTCAGGAGGTACCATGATACTCTTGGGAGGTGCAATGTCACCCTTGGAAGGTGACATGTCTCTCTCAGGAGGTGCCATGGCCTCCCTGAGAAGTATATCTCCTTCAGGAGGTGTTATGCCCTCTTTGGAAGGTATGGTCTCCCCTTCACGAAGTGTTGTGTCTCCTGCAGGAAATGTTGTGTCTCCCTCGTGAAGCGTGGAGTCCTCCTTGGAAGGTGTCATGCCACCCTCAGGGACATCGGATAGTGGAGTTTCCACATCTCCAGAACCACAAACAACCTCCTCAGATGTGCTCTCCACTAGGGGACACAGGCCTCCAGAGGACAGCTCTTCCTTCTGGATTTCCCTGTGGGGAACGTGGTACGGAGAACCTTCTGGCAGAGATGGGGTCTCCATCTCTGATACTGCCATGGGTTCAGCAGCCTCTGGCATTGCCCGGTGGCTTGAGGGTTCATCTCCCTCTTCCATGCTGGCACTGACAGCTGTGCTGTGCTGTAGGCGTGCACGCCTGGCACAGGCCCCTCCAGGTAGCAGTAAGGTTGCAGGTCCCCCAAGCTCAGGCCTTCTACCCAGCATCAAATCCCGCTGTCCAAAACTGGAGTTCTCGTCTATGCTGAACTGGAATAAATGTTTCGCTTCGTATCCTTCCTCCTCCAGGGTCCATGACAGATCACTCAGGGACTCAGATTGTGCCCTCTAGGAGAAACAGAGGTGAGAGACATCAACACAGAAGCAAATATTGGATAGCCTATCCCTTCTTTGCTTCCTCTAGGACTAAACGAGGTTCAGGAAACACGGTACCTCTCAAAGGCTGATGCTGAAGCAGACGCCCCCACACAGATATCTTCAGCTGCCCTTATGAGTTCACAAGGAACCTGTTCCATAAACTCAGAAGAGCCACAGCAGCCAGGCCCTTGACGTAAACGCAACCCATGCATCAAGATATGTTATCACACACCTTTAATCCCAGCTCCAGGGAGGCAGAGACAGGCAGATCTCCATGAGTTTGAGGTCAGGCAGCCTGGTCTATATATTGAGTTCTAGGCCAGCTAGAGCTATACAATGAGATCCTTTCTCAAAAAAAAAAAAATATGTAGCTCATATGTCCAAGCCACAAAACAAATGGTGCCTGCCCGTTTGGGACTAGGACCAACATAGACAAACTATCTGTCCTGCTTTACATTCTTCATTAATTTTGTTTCACTCTAGACTTATCTGAGTGAGGAATGGACTCCCATTGTCTTTTTGTACTTGGAGAGCCAGGAGTCCAAAGGCATGGAAACTCTGGTCAAGACTGAATTAACTGGCTGTTAATAGGAATCCCAGGTGAAAAGGCATTGTTCTCCCGGGTTGTGCCCTCATTGAGAAACCAGATAGTTTTCTTTGAAAAGTTATTTGTATCAGGTCAAACATGGCCAATTGCGAACCACAGGATAAAAATCCAAAGATTTCAGTCTTAAGTTCTCTGGTCTTTTACACTCATGTCAAGCAGGGCTCTCCCACTGTGCCTGATGCTGTCTTCCACTCTGTACATCCAGGACATTCTACCAGCACCTGCCAGACTCCCTCAGTCTTTACGCCCTGCAGATAACTTGCCTAAGCTAATGACGCTTCCTTCTCTGGCTCTCTAATGTAGCCTGTACCCTACACTGCCTTGTGGCATTTTTCTTCTGAAAGGTCTCTGGAATTCAGATGCTGGCCTGGCTTGCTCTTTGTTGTTACACACCCAATTCCTCCTCTCAGGAAGAAAATGAAAAATCAAGGCAGACACAGGTCATGCAAAAGCAGTGTGTGGAAATGATTCAGCGGTTAGAGGTCCTGCGGCTGATTATTGAAAAATGTTCATGACGTCAACCCCTGGGGATCATTCAGGCTGCTGTATTACACGGTGCTGTCTTGTTCCCCAAGGCAGGAAATGTGATCTTGGGTACGACAGAGTTGGTTCTTGTTGCTGATATTTTATTTTTATCTTTGTGATGCTGGGGATCAAATCCAGGGCCTTGTGCAGCGAGGCAAGTGCTCTAAACCCGAACTATAACCCCAAACGGTTATTTATTTATTTATTTATTTACTTATTATTAAACATTTTCCTGCTGGCATCTGCTTGCTAAAGATCACAAAAGGTCTGGGATTTCTGTGACCATACCTAAGCTATTTTTTGCCAAAATGCACAGTTGTCTTCTTTTGGATTTCAAAAGAAGTTGAAGGAAGAAATCTATACAACATTCTTGCCAAAAGCTGAGGTTCTTGACTTGGTCATGTCACTGGCCCTTTGCCACTCTAGGAGGTTATTGATGTGGAGGGCTCAGTAGGAAATGGATCATGATTTGAAGCCACCAATCACAGAACCCAGACCAATTCAGCAGACAGCTGGGGACCCAGTCTGGCTAGAGCACCTTCCAGCTCATCTATTGGCAGCTACAGGAGGTGCCTATGGGGGGATATTGCAGGATGAAGGCTAGCGTGGGGGGTATACTCTCCAGATGGGGGAATCAGATGCTAAGGAGAGCCCAAACGGTAGAAAAGCAGCTTCTGCATAGCTAGGACTTTGCATAGCTGCATCAGGCAGGAACTCAGTCTCCCCACCACTGCCAGGGTACGCTGTGCCTACTCCATCTAGGCAATCTTCTTGGCATTTCCTCCTCTGTGGCTTCACAGTGGTTTGGCACTCTGGAAACATCCCAAGGAAACAGAAATGCCCAGCCTGTACCAAGATGGAGAGTCAATTGAGGCTAGCAGTATACCTATGTCAGCATGCCAGGAAGCAAGATCCATGGTGCAGTGTGCATTAATCCAGGGCAGGTGGTCCTGCCAACCCATGAGCAGCCCAGGGTGCTGAGAGGAGGCATCGGTCTCTGCCTAAGCTCTGGGTCATGCATTTGGCAGCTCTTCTAGCCACCAGACCAGCACTAGTCATCCAATCTTAGTGGTCCTGTTAAAGTGGAGTTGACAACATTCCTTATCCCTAGCACTGCCTGGCTGGGCCTGAGGACCCAGTGGTGTAAGCTGTAAACCTTTGCAGGCATTCTGCTCTAACTTCATTTAGAATCATACCCACAGCATGGTTCTGCTAACATGGCTGGCAGTGTAAAACACTGAGGCAATAACCAGCAGCTATCCCTCCCAACTTCTGCTGAGGTGGGGGCCCAGGGGCTCAGCCAAATATGTTTCAACTTTGTAATAAATATCAGTCTTGATAGCCAAGGTTTCATCATGCAAAATAGAGTTTTTTCCTTTAATAACAACTCTTTAACATTTTTCCCTTGTTTTGCCTTTTCCCATTTGTGTGTGTGTGTGTATTTGCAAGTGTGGGGGTGTCCGTGTGTATCTATGGATGTTTGTACATATGTGGATACACTATATGGATGCATATGTATATAGATGCCTGTATGTGATGTCTGGAGTCATCCTCAATCCATCATCCACCTCATTTATTGAGGCAGGGTCTCTCAGTCAAATTCAGAGCTCACTGATATGGTTAGTTTCATAAGCCAGCTTGCTCTGGGCTAGAATTACAGGGGGCGGTTGCCATGTACACACAGCATTTACTTGGGTTCTGGGGATCTGAACTCTGGTCCTTACACTTGCATGACAACTGCCGAGCCATCTCTCTAGCCCTTATCCCCCTCCTCTTTTGTTGCTCTAGAACTTACAAGAGATTCAGAGTCTTAATGCCTTGGAGTAGAGAATGTACAACCTGTTGACACAGCTGAGACTACCCTAGCAAGGACAGCAGCATGGGTTAGAAGAGACGGCTGTGGGAGCTCTAAGGATTCCTGTGTGTTGGACTTTGGGGGAGATAGAGGAGGCAGCTCTACAGGCTATGGGGATCAAAAGAGAGGGGAAAGTAGGTTTCGCTGTGCAGTGGCGCCCAAACAACCATCAAGTCTCTATAGAAGTGCCCTGTGGCTGATCGGCAGCTGGAGGGGCAAGACGTGGCTCCTTGCCATCACTGAAGTCAGAGAGCACCTGATAGCCTGATCTGAGGCATAAGGAGGGCCTCTGTGGGAAGAAGAATCTCAGGACCCAGAGCAAAGTGGCTGATGAGCAGACCCTGGCAGCAGACACCAGCAGCACAGAACAAAGGAGCAGTGGCGACCACTAGGGAAGTATAGACGCCACTGAGCACTTGAGAGAGTCAGACCTGCTCTCTGCCAAGCAGCGAAGGGGAAATTAAGGCTGACTTACATTAGGTTTTCATTGTAGTTATTTTACAAAATGGTATTCCATGATGAAGGCAAGCTTAAAACTAAAGAAAGTTGCAGCAATGTTGGGGTAGGGGTGGGGGGCAGCAAGAAGGGTTGTCAGCCTGTGTTTACAAAGCACCTCCCACATGCCAAACAGAAAACTCATTCTCTCCAGGAAGTTCCTGAAACCCAAATGGGCCCTGCTGTTTGTCTCCAGCGGATATGCCTAGCTTGTCAGGAAAATCTTCAGTAACTGCAAGTGTGTCTTGAGGAAAGGGCAGGGAAGATGTTACTCTATAAGTCCTTCTCAATGTGAGGCACTCTCCTTGGCCATGACTGTCCTGCCCCCTGCCCTCTACCCCTCACCTTCTCTAAAGCTGAGGCATCTAAGCCCAGTCAAGTTAAGAGGAGTCCAGGCATGGAGAATGTCAGGTTGTAACATGAAACAGTGGATTCTTGATGTTTGTAGAATGAACAAAGGCATGCAACTATTAATGTCTGACCAGGGTGTTTATGCAAATGAGATATACCCGATGCAAGGGGCAAAAGATGAGTAAGACTAGCATCTACAATGTGGTTTGATCCACCTTGGAGGTACTCAGAAGTGCTATGTGGCTAGGCAGTGGGTGAGACTATCAAGCCTGCCCATCCCATCCCTACACAGAGGAGGAAGGCCAATTACCGAAGACAGGCGCCTCATTTTACTTGATCGCTGGTTTCTGGGCTTAACCAGGAGCTTGTGTTTAGCTGCAGAGTTGTCCAGGCAGGAAGAGAATTCTGGAGGTTGGCTGAAGTCAGCCACAGGTGCCAGGCTGCCATCCAATGTCCGAGAGGAGACAGTGGCATCACTCATGTGGTCAGGAGACGGTGGCCGCGATGAGGACACTAAGATCTTCATGGTACAAAGAACAAACACACCAAACATTAATTTAGTGACAAAGGGTGGAGACTGTTGTCCTACCAACTCCCCTGTGGCATGCTTCTGTGCTATCTTTGGACTGTACCTGGGAAAGAATATTTTCAATTGGCTCTTGACAGAGAATGTTTTAGAATATCTGTTTAGAGCAAATGGCTGGGAGTTCAAAGGGTGGGGGCCAACCCTAAGGCCATGTGAACAGGGTTCTTCAACAGGAAGACTTTCCATAGCTACATTCACCCATGAAACTAGCCCAGTGTCTTCAGGGGTGGAAGGACCCGCTGATTTCACCCAGCTGGTACGTGGCCCAGCAGTGAGATCTCAGGGGTGCAGGTCATAGAAAGCACTGAGCCCCTGCTCAGCCCTTCAGGTGCTTTCTTTGTTCATTCTAAAGGGTCTCCGAAGTCTCTCAGGGAGCCTGGCTTCCAGGTACCATATGATGAGCTACAGACATGTTACTAGTTTACACCTCCGTGGGGAGGAACTGACAGTCAGAAATGATGAAA